TGCCAGTTTTCTAATTCTAGGGCACTGATGGACAAGATAGGCATAACTCTCGACGCTGTTTTTGGACAGCACTACTTTGTGGGATAGTTGGATTTGGGGTTTTTTTATTCTTTGAAAATTATTACCATTCTGCTGTAACTGCTGAAAAAAAGTCTACATGTTCTGATGATCTTCCACCTTAACGGTAACGGAAGTCCTTTCTCTGGCAGGACTAAGCAACTCAAATACCTCTCACTACTTTGGACTTTCTGCTCACTCCTTTCTCTTTCCGAGTAACTTTTAAACTTGGCTTTGAAGCTCGTGCCCAGCTTTCTGTTTCTAAATTCTAAGTCTTGGTTTTGATGTGTTGATGTGTTAATCTGTATTTTTCTCTTTTTCATTTCTTGTTGTCTGCTGTATGTGGAGTTTTTCTCTCTAAAGTTTCTCCCAAAAATTCTTTTGAAGCTTACCAAAAAAAAAGGCCAAACAAACCCTGAACCAATTTTCCTGCTCTTGGTAATGTTTGTTGGTAGTTTTGTTTTCGGAGTATGTTTTTTTTTTTTTTTTCAGCATGTATTTATATTCAGATATCATGCAGTGCTAAGTTCAAGGGTGCTTGAGAATTAAAAAGAATTTTCCATGCAAATTTGAACCCCATCTTCTTGCTATCTTATGAGAGTTTTACTGCTAGGCAAATTGTTTACAAGAAAAAATGAGTAGAGACTTCATATATTTTGAACAAAGCGTTATGTGGATTTAATAGAAAATGCCTGACAGGTAGTATTGTTTGCTTGGTTGTAGCTTAAATTAAAAAAAACCCTTTGTCTTCTATATGTAGATCTTTAACCAAACTGCACTTGCTCACAACATACAGGTTTCTGGAGTGTAGGAGCTTCTTCCTACTCTTTTTTTTTTTTTTTTTTTAAATTAATTTCTTTAAATTTTGTGTTTCAGTACTAAATCATGTAGTGTGTGTTTGTTTCTGTATTGCACATGCCACACATGCTTCCTTGCAGCTAAGACAACCTACTTTAAAGGAGCCCTGCAGAGAAGCATACTTAAAAGCCTACAAGCTCTTTAACTGCATTTATGTAGCTCATACTAAGCTGATTTTTGGTGTGTTTGCATGGAGTTATTTCCTATTGGAAATGTGCTTCTAAAATCCAAGCCTTAGTTGGGTAATTAAAGATATTAATGCTGTGAAAGAGCATTTGTGTTCCAGGCTTTTTTGTTGCCTTAGTTTTGTTCTCCAAATTGAAAGCTCTAATGAAGGTCTCAACAAAATAATCGTTGGGTAACACACTTAGAAATGTTAGAAATTAGAAAATTTAATTCAGGTTGCATCAAGCTGTTTTAGCTGCTGGTGGTATGGGATACACGTGGCTTTGTAGTTTACCAATATATGAAACTGCCTGTATTGTCTTACAATATTGGTGTGATGACCCTCCAGATACCACTGCCTGGTGCGTGCAGGTCAGGGTGCAATTCTGGGATACTGTGTCTTTCTGTGAAAAGCTTTGGACAGAAGATACAAGCCCTTGGGGGAAATTGTGGTTTATGTTTTAGAGAGAGATCTGTTTCCAAGTCTTTGCAATTGGTTTAGTTTAGAAACTAGGAACTGGGCATATAAAGTGTTTTGTGCAACTCATTCTCCGCCAGACTTTTGTTGCTATAGTCGAGTTTTTATTGCATGTATCCAGCTAACTTAGTTCTGCCATCTCTGATGTCACTTGTTACTGATTGATCAAAATAATGGTCTGTTGCATAGGTAGTTCATTTGGGAAAAAACCCACTTTTGCTTTAGAATTGTTGGTCGCCACTAAGGTTTCTGGCACAGCGTCTTCTAGTAATTCAGTGGTTTGAAGTAAATGCAGGACTAAGCTTTGAAACCTGCTCTCTGTGCTGCAGTCCAGTGATAGCTTGGCAGCAGTGGCAGTGTATGATGTTCTTCTGCTGTGATTCATTCCCACCATATGCTACCATCGGCTTGGATATACCAACACAGTTGATTGTGGTACTATTTGGTAAACTGGATGAAACAACTCCTCACTCTTTTTCAGTGTGTGGTCACAGCTGAGGAGGTGGCGTGCTACCTGGGTGGGAAGGAGAAACAGGGTTTGGAAACTTCTGAAGGCAGACTCACTGCTGGAGAGAGCATGGCAGTGTCTCAAAGTAGGTAGTTTGCTTGTAGCACTTAGACCCTTTGTGTTCAGAAATACTATGTTGTATTGTATGCTGCCGGTAACAGTGTTCAACGTCTATGAATAATATAATAATGTTTAATTTGTGATGTGTTGAGTAATTTTATATTAAAACGGGTTTCAACTTTTGGGTTTGCAAAGTGCAAGAAATGCTTCTAATCCTCTTATTTGACAGAACTTACCTGTTTGGGGTGGGTGGGTTTTTTTGTTTGGGTTGGTTTTTGGGGTTTTTTGGGGTTTTTTTTGGGGGGGGGCGCTGGGAGTGGGTTGGTTTGTTTGTTTGGGGCTTTTGTTTTTTTTTTCCCTAGCTCTGTTAAATGAAAATCTTGGTGCACCTGTTCTGGAATAATAGATGCAGTCCACCTGTCAGCTTTTGCTGGTCAGTGCTGTTCTTCATTTTACTGATTGCCTTTGCAATATGCAGTCGCACACACGTTGCTCTTTACGTTTGACTGGAGCCTTGAAATGGGATGACTTTTTTGATGTATGACGAAACTCGCATGTATACTTTTCTGCCAAAGCTCAAAAGTACTTGCTAGATTTCATTTCAGGTGATTCATGCTGGTTTAGAAATGTAATTCCTGCCACTTTCAAAAAGGATAAACTGCTTCTGCATCTTTCTTGTGCTTGTTTTCTTCCAAATTATTCCCCTCCAATGTCCTGCTGGGTCTTTCTGGAGCAAAGTTTCTGCACTGCTTCCCACCATTGATTGGTTTTCAATAGTGCGTGTGTACATACATTGATACTTCCTTACGCACTGTATGTTATAGTCGATACCACTCAAGCTGCCTGTTGCAGCTTTGTGCCAAAGTTAAGATAATCTGCTTTCACTTAGTACAGAAGAATCGTGTGTGCTCCCAGTGGGAAGACAGCAGAATGTGGATACAGATAAAGACTTTGTTAAAAAGGACAAAACTGAGACTTAAATAGTAATGAGTCCAAAAAATGATTTGTTTGGGTGGTCTTGAAGGGGAAGTTGGAGGGTGGGGGTTTCATGACTTCTGTAAGTGAAGTACTCGCTATTGCTCATTTTTATATGTTCCCTTTGCTATTTTGATGGTGTTGGAGCTGTGATCTTTCTGGAATATGCAATATAGTTCCTCCCACTATTTGTTTCTACTGTTTGAAGCAGAGTATTTGCTGCTGGTTGCAAGCTGAGGATTACTGATAGTACCCCAAAGGCATTTAGATGCAAGTTCCTTCTTGTTCAGGCTAGCAGTGGAGGCTCTGGTATACAACAAACAACAGCTCGTTAGTTGTTCCATCTATTTTCAAAGTTCCTGCCGTTCATGTGATGAAAGGTTAGAATTAATTGTTTCAGGCTATATCCATTTGTTTCTCAAACCTACTCTTCACATATCAGAAAAGGGATTGAGAAGCCTTTAAGTGTCAAATATTTCATGTAACAATTCCCCAGTCTGCCTAGGAAAGCTGTTTGCTGATATTTTACAGCGTGTATTTTTCTAATGCTCAGTATAAGCTTTCTTTATTGTAGCTCAAGCCTATTAAGTTCTGCTTGTTCTGTCACTGATTAGTGAGAATAAGCTGTTCTTGGCTTCTTTAGAAAAATTCTTTATGGATTCTAATCTGGGTACTATGGCTAGTTATATTTCAAAGAACAGCTTTTCTTGTATGTGCTTCTTTCTGAACCTTTTATGGTTTAGACAACCTCTGGTGTCCTCTAAATAATGCAGTTTCTTGAGGTCTGATTGATCCTGAGTTGAGTGAATTATTATAGTAAACAGTAGCAGTGCAGCCCAGCAATGGGTATCTTGGTTTATTATATAATTCTTGGACCTGTGTTTGGGCAGTAGGTGATGTAGACAAGCAGTTTTAATCTTGGAGGGTGTGTGTACAGAGGTGCGTGTGTGAACTTAAAATTGACAGAGTATCTTGTTACTATGACTACTGTCATGATCCCTTTCCACTTGCAGGTACCTCAAAGGACTTGTCCCTTTGCCTGTGGGAAACTGTCTGGTAGTAATGCAAGACTCTAGGAATTTGGCTAATTTGTACTTACATGGTTGGAATGCAGCCAGTTGTCACTGAGCTCTCAACTCCTTGCATCTCCATTTCACTATTGTCTTTCTAGTCTGAGCGCTCTTCATAATGGCTTCTGAGACACTGAGTGTGTCTAGCTGTGATAAGAAATTGTTAGCAATATTAAAAACACTTGCTAAAGCTTACCTTTAAAATGGCTGTCATTGAGTGTGCTTTCCCTAACTTTTTTTCTTGCTTTTTGCAGGACTGTTTCTGGGTGAAGAATGCAGACTATAAAGTGCGTTGTTGTTGGAGATGGCGCTGTGGGAAAAACTTGTCTTCTCATCAGCTATACCACCAATGCCTTCCCAGAGGAGTACATCCCTACTGTGTTTGACAACTACAGTGCCCAAATGACTGTTGATGGCCGGACAGTTAGCCTGAATCTCTGGGACACTGCAGGCCAGGAGGAATATGATCGCCTGCGCACACTCTCGTATCCTCAAACCAGTGTATTTGTCATCTGTTTCTCCATCGGTAGTCCCTCTTCCTATGCAAATGTGAGGCACAAATGGCATCCTGAAGTTTCTCACCACTGTCCAAATGTTCCCATTCTTTTAGTGGGCACGAAGAGAGACTTGAGAAATGACCTGGAAACAGTTAAAAAGTTGAAAGAGCAAAGCTTGGCTCCCACTACCCCGCAGCAGGGGACTTCACTGGCTAAACAAATTGGAGCAGTCAAATATTTGGAGTGCTCAGCGTTGAATCAGGAAGGTGTTCGGGAGGTGTTTGCTGAAGCTGTGCGTGCAGTTCTGTATCCTGTGACAAAGAAGAACACAAGAAAATGTGTCTTATTGTAGTTACCTTGGGTGATAGATGTTCGGAGTATTGACTAGAATCTTGGAGGGCTCTTTAATGAGTTAAATTTAAGATTTGCATCTTGCACTAACAGCTCTAAGCAGAAATGGCTTATGCAATGAATATTCCTGCAGTCTTACTGCTTCAGGGAAACTGAAACAGAGCAGGTGGGGGTTTTTTCCCAACTGAGAGGTCAAATATCTACTTTATTTCTAAAATTCCAGTTTCCAGCGATCACTTGGCTTCTGTCCTTATTTAGTGGAGGAAAAGAAAAGAAGGGACAACCTTGAAGACAGACTTCTTTACTAGGTAGCCATCAGTTACTAGATTTGCTGAAAAGCACAAATTCTGGTAACTTTGCTTTAAGTGTAGCTGCTGCTTTCCAATATGTTATTTGCTGATGGAATTTGTTTTACAAACAGAAGTCTGGCTGTCCAGTTGTTTTAATTAGTCAATTTAAAGCTTGAAAACAATTTGTTTACATGCAAAAATGCCTGAAATATTACTGAGATTCACCTTACAGTGGACTGTGATCATTTATATGAAAAGTTAGCGTAAGGCATGTTTAAGGCGATGAGCAAGACCCAGGGGAACGCCTGCAGTGATTTTATTAGTAGAAGCAGGAGCTGATTTCACCTAATGTAAGGAACTTAGAATAATGATGAATCACTCAAATGAGTGATTTTCATACTTTTGAGTTGGAGAGGTGCAAGAGTAGTTTGGATGCAAGTCTTCCATAATCTTCTAAACTTGAGTTTTTATTTCACTCTCCAAAGAGACTTTGCAGCCTGAGAATAAAGTTAACTGTTACCTTCTCGAACTAACTGAGGTAGCTGGGATGACATGTCTCAAAATAAGATTTTGAGTGTGATCCCTTTGATGAATCCCAGAGACTTGATAGTAGCCTGTGTGCTCTTGAAGAATTAATTGCTTCACTTCTTAATGTTCCTGGGGCCACCATCGGAGATTTTTATGGTAAATTCCTTTGGTTTTTTTTCTGGGAGAACACAGACAGAGAATTTGGAGGTGCTATTTACAGGAACCAGGAACCCTCGTTTCTTTCTGGCAACTCACTGATGGTTTCAAGTTAAATTTGTAATGGTTGGCCAGTCACTGGATAGGTTTACCTGGGCAGTTTTCTCCTCTCTACTAGATGATCTGTTGTTATAAACTCTTTTAACTGAAGTTCTATTTATGTACTTTTTAAATTTCTTTAGCAGCTCTAGTGAGTGGCAGCTGGCTTGTATTTTCAGGATGTGCACTGTTCTTTGTGTGGTTCCAGGACCAGCTGAGGAGTGAGTGCATGAAACCTTCACTAGACTTAACCTTGCAGCTTGGTGGTGTGAAAGCAGCATGCTTCAAAGATACTTTGTGTGAAACGAATGGTGCTGGACTGGGCTTTGTTGTCTGAAGTTGACAGTGCTGCCTTTGTCTGGATGCAGCCTCAATTACTAATTCAGAACTTGCTTTCCTGTGATTCCCACACATGCAAACTGCACTGGTGTATACCCTGGGCAGAAAAAAGCCTCATTTTAACTAGATAACAGAAAATGCATCAACAAGGTTATTAGGCATCTTCTGTTAATTTGACCTTGCTTTATCTGACATGGGCAAAAATACCAGGTGGATAGAAACATTCGTATTTGTGCCCTAATTCCCCTCTTCGAAGAGGATGTGCCTTTCTTCAGCTGGTGCAACTGATGCTGGCACTAACCGCAACTTCTGTGTATCTGAGGTATGCCTGTGCTGGTACTGCTTTAGCAAGCTGCAATCTGTAGGTTAGAAACTGCAGTTAATCCAAATGCTGGTGTACGTGGCTAGCGAACTAGCGCTGACTTCCAAACTTCGCCTTGTCACAGACCACTCCAAAACACCAGTTATGCACGATGTTTGCAGAAGCCTAGAGATTCTGTGTATTTTTCTTCACCAAGTGCCATTGACTAAAGTGTCTTTGTGTCTTTTGCACTCAAAGGAGTGCTGTACCAGATGTGGCTCCTACCACAGTGCCCTGCAGGCTGTGGGAGAGGAGGAGATTTCAGTGAGGTAACCTCTACTCACCAAGGTCTGCCTTTACTTTAGTAGTAGGCTTTTAGTGTGGGCTTAAGTTGCAGGCAGCAATTAACTCTGTGCCTTGTAATTCAAGATTATTTTCTGTGGGTAAATTTCAGTAACTGAGCAAATAAGAGTTTATCATGTTTAAAATGTATTTATTTAACGCAGTGCACGTTTTTTTGCATGCTGGTCAGGCCTAAATCAACTGTCTAGTTACCCTGGTGCAAGCCCATAACCTTTGCGTCAGTCAGAGATGTACTTTAAAAAGTTTGTGATATGTCTGAACTGCTCTTAAATAGACTTAATTTCAACAACAGGCATCTCTCTTTTTGCTATAAATATTTGCAATTTTGTACTGAAGCTACTACTGTTTTAAAAAGTTTTTACTTTTTTACATACTGAAATCTGAGTTCTGCATCTTTTGTCATTATTCCTAACTGGATTACAATAATTTTGTGGAGAGGAAATCCTGTGAGCAAGTATTACTGCACATCCCCCACCCCCCCCTGCTTCTGGAAGCTCACAGAGCAGCCGTCCTGGTGTTAACTGGAAGAGAGTATGGTGAGAAAATTCAACTACTTAATCAATTTATTTGAATTGATTACATTCTTGATTACAGTATGCTGGGACACTTTATCCCCATGTAGATTACTTAATAAATGGATTGCACAACAGTACTGAGGAGAATAACATGATAGTGATGAAAATGAACACAGTCACAAACTTTTTACTGGAGTACCTCACGAACAGTCATTTAGATGCCTTGTATTTCTGTCACTTTCTGCCAGGAGCAAAAGTCCTGCTGGTTGATAGCTGTTTTCCTCCAGCCTCTGCTTTTCCTGAGCTTCAGGAGCACATGGATCCAACAAGCTTTTCCATTCAGTGGGCATTCTCAGTTTGTGATCTTCCTTCTCTTTCTGCCCCATTCTCCCCCCAAGTTCTTGGTGTGTTTTATTGTTAAGTAGTCCAGTCCTTCAGTCTAGAATCCATTCCATTCCTCCCACACATTTCTTCGGTGTGGGTTTTTTTGTTTTTGTTTTTGTTTTTCCCCTGTGGGCAGGTAGCAAATACAGACTTCATCTACTCCCACAGCTGGATTTTGTCTGTTTTCAGGAGATTAGAAAACCTGGGTTAAGCTGCGCGGGTTTCCTGAACTGTTCAAGATTCCTCAGTTTGTTACTGAATAGAAACGCAGTCTATGTCTTAATTCACAGAAGAGACTCTAGGAAGAGACTGATTTTAATCTTTTGGTTTGTGAATGATTTCTGAAATACTTGTGGGCTTTTTTTAAATACAACTGGAGACATTCACAGGGAGCTGAGCAGTTCATGAATTCTGTGTCCAAAGGATGTTATGAGGCATGCTTAGATGTATAAGTGCTTTCTCCAGTTTACAGCTGTAGCTATTTCTATGAAACTTAAACTAGAATAGCCTCACCGTGCTTTGTCTCCGAGTGCTAAACCTCGCTCTGTAGAAACCTCGGTGCTGCTTGGGCTGACCCTGTGAAGTGGATGGATCTCACGGGGGTCTTGACCCCCCCGGGTGGGCTGCGAGGAACAGCTGTCAGCAGTGGGAGCCCAAGACTCTTGAGTGTGGTACTGATACATACACTGGCAACTTGGATTTTATACTATAGAAGAATTTGTATTACAGCTAACACTTTTAAAGGATTTTTTTTTAAGATTATGCAAAATTAAGTGTAATAAACCTTTCCTTCTATCTCTGGCTCTCGTATTAACTCACCCTGCTGTTTGTAACGCACCTGTTCTAAAAGTAGTTCTTTCCTGTGGAAAGCCAGATCCCCTTTCTTGAATGCAATAAACGGTTTTTCGGTCAACGCTGGCGCCCCTGCGCTTCCTTGAGTCGAGGGGGGAGGGGAGGGCGGCTCTGTTCGCGGGTGGGGGCGCTGCTCGCTGGCCGCCGGCGGCGGCGGCTTC